TCTGTGTATATTTATTATGTATATATAAATACACAAACATACAGTATATATTTTGAAAATATTTATGTCTATATTTATATTAATATAATTTAGATTATAAATAAATATATTTAATATATAAACATAACATATTTTTCTGAAATATATACATGCACGTGTGTGTATTTATACACAGAACACACACATATATTATGTAAACAAAAACTTTTATTTTGGATGCGATTAATCGCGATTAATCGTTTGACAGCACTAAAAATAATATAAATATAAACATAATATATATAAATAAAATATACAAAAACATACACACACACAAGCAGGCATGTTGTAATTGAAATGTACCTCAAGAACCGGTAGCGCTTCGGGCTCCTCCTGAACTGGGACGTCTGCTGTGTCTGAATCAGTAGATGTATTTCGTCGTCTGGCCTGAGTCAGTCTCCGCAAGGCTTGATTGATTCTGATCTGTGTAGCGGGACTGAACAGATAAAAACATGAAATCAACCCACACGTAACTCTACCGAGAGAAAACTGATGTTTGATGCTTTTCATGACCACTAGGAGACAGTCTAAGCAAAACTGATGTCTGATGACTGTTAGTGTAAAGGTAAATACATATAATGCAGTGTTGGGAAGGATAGTTTAAACCAGGGTTATAGTTAATCATAGTTAACTAAACCCATAAAAATCATTTTCTTAATCAAAATAAAATAAATGCTAACTGATCAAAAATATTAAAAAGTATTTTATTTTAGGTAGTCGCCAAATCAACATTTAAAATTTTAATTTAGTTTAAATTGATGTAGTAAAATTAATAAAAAACTACATAGACATAAAAAAAAACAATAACTACAAAAAAAAAACAAAAAAAAAAACATTTAACTAAAATGTAGTTAACCCTAATTTTGAAAAAACGAACCAAAAAAATTATAATAGTATATCAATAATAACAAAACTAACACTGTCAAACTACAAGCTACTGGATCTGTTAGTGTAACACTGCAAGTTATGTAATTCCTTTGATTAATAAAAACACAATTTATCCAAAATATAACAAGTGTGGATCTCATGTAGGATGACATCAAACTTGAACACACAAATTTACAGTAATAAAACTATAAAATGCTAATTAGATATAAGCATGTAGATAAAAAGCAGCATTTAACAAAATAATGTAATAATAAGATTAAATATTGAGTGATTAATCACTGAATCGCTTTTTTGAAGCAGTTAATATAATGAAACAGTTCAATATAACGAATCATCTAAACACAATTTGCTGAAGTTAGTTGAGGGCTTTTTAAGAGACTTGAGAGTTTTATTATTCCCTCATAAACACATTTGGCTGCAAGACTGTATACACAGAACATAAAAATACAGCATTATCGTAATTTTGTCACCTGACACCGAGGGAGATGAAAATAACTTGTTACTGGAAAAGCGACAGACACTGAAAAAGTCAGTAGCATTGCTAGTTTTAGTTAGTAGCTCCACAACGCTGCTCTAAATGAGATACTCAGATGTTCAAAAGACAACTGAAGGTTGATTGTGGCAATGAAAGTGATGAGGAATCATGTTGCAGATATTTCTTACTCATCAACAGTGTCGTTGTTTTCAGTTTGTTCGTCGGTTTCCCCGATGAGATTCTCTGTGTCCTGCTCTGCAACTCCATGCTCCTCGGGTTCACCGTCCTTCAACTGACCCTGAAGGGTTTAATAAGAGCAAACAAACACAGACGTACTTCAAAACTCAGATTACAGTGAAGTCCTGCTGAAAAGACCAGCTTTATATGTTGGGTTGTGGATGCTGGTGTAGCCACCAGGCTCTTTAACTAGCTAAACCAGCTCCACTAGGAAGACCATGCTGGTTGATCAAGTTACTTTTATAAACAGCTTGCCACCAAACCACCAAAACAATATTACTATCGAGGTTTAATTTATTTGTATTTCAGTTGGAGGGTTATTATAGTTAACCAGAACTAAAGCCTAAACTAAAAAAAAAAAAAAAAACTTTTGTTACTTAAAATAAACTTTAACTAAAATTAAGCAAAATATATAAATAAACAAAATGATTTTATTTTAGATATTTGCCAAGGCAACATTTCAAATTTTGATTTAGTATAATGATGTATAAAAATAACTAAAATATAATATAATATAATATATATTAAATATATAAATATATTACTAAATATTAATATAATCTATAATAGTATCTCAATTATACTAAAATAGCATTGTTCAGCTTTAATGATTTATTTTCAGTTAGAAAATGTAGTGCTTATACTTGCAACTTAAACATGCACATTTCACTTTATAATTTTCGTTTCGTTTGTTTTCATCTAATATTTACATTCCAGTGTTATTGCAATTAACCAAAATGTTTTGTTTGTTTGTTTGTTTGTTTGTTGTAGTCTTAGTTTTTAGTTAATGATAATAACTTTATCTTTAAAAAGTAGTCATTTACATGAAGGAGTACAGTATATAAAGATTTTGGACTATGAGGACAGACTTCTTAAAGTAGAATAATAATAGAATAATAAACGCCCTATTGAAGAAGAATATCAATGACCAAAATAAAAGATTAAAATATACCACTTACTAAAATGAAATAAAATATTTGTTCACTTGCATGTCATGTGACAGTTAACTGACATCAGAGACCATGCAAATGTGCTGTTAAATTCTTGAAATATTAATTTAAATATCCTCAAGTATATACTTTAGATCAAAGGGATTCAGCTGATTTAAAAAAAAAAAGTTTTCTTTTGCTGTCATTTCTTAATGAACCTCATGGCATGACACATTCCTGAAGTCAAGCTATTAAAACGAAACTCCGAAGACCAAAATATTTGTAGGTCTCAGTGTTTTTATGATAGATGAAATTTCACCAAATGGCTAGAATATATACGTATTTTGAAAATGTACTGTAGTGTAACTGCATGTAACAGAATTGCGGTCACACTTCAGTTTGTGGACCAATTCTCACTATTTACTAACTATTAACAATGACTTTTGCTTCAGTAAACTCCCAATTTGCTGCTTATTAATAGTTAGTAAGGTAGTTGTTAAGGTTAGGATTAAAGGATCTAAAATATTGTCATACAGAATAAGGCATTATAATACTTTATCAGTACTAATAAATATAGTGATATGCATAAGCAACTAGTTAATAGTGAGAACTGGTCCCTAAACTAAAGTGTTACTAGAATTGCATAATGCATAAAGCAAAATACAACTTCAAAGCAGGCAAAATAAATAAATGAATAATAATTTATGATCAGTAAATTCTCAATTCACATTCTGTTGGCAGGTATGACAAAAAGTTAGCCTATCATTTTGGTGCTAAGTGATAAGTTAAAACTCACACTCAGCTACAAACACACACACACACACACACACACACACACATCATTACTAGGAAACAAAACACTTCCTCGTAAACAAGCTCTCTGTGAACAGGACATTGAGTAATGTTCATTCTACAGAGACAATTCCATAAATATACAGCAATGACTGCTGGACTATATCCTGATTTACTCAGAATAAACAGACCCTCTTCTGATTCACTTCTCTTCTATACTGACACACAGTTGGAGGCTCTTAAAGATGCTGCTTGTAATGTTTTCAGTGTTGAAGTAATGGAAACTGGGGGAAATTGCAAGATGCTTTTGGTATAAGAAACGTGTGTGGCAAAAATGTCAAAATATAATGACAAAGATCAAAATAAATAACAGAGGTTGGGGGCAATCACCTAAAAAATGAATTATATTAACCCACTTTTTTTTCAAATCAGAGGCAATAACAGCAATAAAAATCACAATTTGAATATATATTAATATTACCAGACAAAGCTTCATATTGTAGCATTTATTGTAGCTGTCAGAAATAATACAGATAAAGTAAATTAAATAAGTTCTAAATTATTTATATATATATTACTAAAATATATATCAACTGATAAGCCAAGAATGGTTTTTAAAAAGATACTCTTTTGAAATAATGTTAGTGGTAAACTGATACATCGGCTGATATTTGGCATTTCTTAATTATCGGCATTGGCCGGTTGCAAAGGGGCGGAATATTACTTAGACTTTCCAAAAATTTTTCCAAAAAGTACCTGAAAGTGTCCAAAATTTCTGGAAAGTTTGGGAAATTATCTGGAAATTTTCCTACCCTAATCGGCCAACACGTTTTTCTGTTTGGTCGATGTGTCAGATGTGTGAATTTTGTTTTTCATAACAACTGTTACAATTTAATCTTGCATCACAGCTAAGATGCAACTTTGTATACTAGTGCCTACCTTTTTAAAGGAACACTCCACTATTTTTGAAAATAGGCTCATTTTCCAACTCCCCTAGAGTTAAACAGTTGAGTTTATGGGTGCAGCAGGCGCAATGATATTATGCAGCGCCTGAAAATAGGCTTATTGGAAGTTACCTAGCTGGGGACTATTTTCAGGCACTGCGTAATATAATTTCGCCTGCTGCACCCATGGTGCGGCAGCAAAGTTCCTTGATTATTACGCCGGAATGAGAGTATATTTACTAGCCATATTGGCCTAGAAATTTTTCAATTTTTAATTTTCCGTCGGTCTTAGTACACGATGTAACTACAGAAGAGTCAAGTTTTAAATAGGAAAAATATAGAAACACTTTGGTCATTTTTGAGCCAGATGCTAACAGTCTAATCAGATTCAATGATCTATGCTAAGCTACAGCTAAAAGTGCTACCGCCAGACCCGGAGATCGGCTGAATGGATTCGAAAACGGTAAAACTCACAATAAGTTTTCAACGACTTGTTGAAACAATGGTGGAACTAGATTTAAAGGAGTAAAGAAATAGTAGAGGAAACAGCCCTGTTGCAATGACTACATGTATATGATCATGAAAATCGGATTATTATTGGAATTTGGTCATATTCCAATTATGCACCTGTTATTTAACACAGCTATCCAAGTGGAATTCACTGGAATTCTTGGTCATGTAAACAACACCTTATTTGTAATGTTCTATAGTATTGAAATATTAATTGACATCTATTCATTTCCAAACATAAATGATCTATGTGAAAAAGGAAACTGTAAAAAAGCCTAGAAATAGACTACATGCAGAATTGCTAAAAATGCAGCATAATGCTTAACCAGAATTTGCATGTATATCGGAAAACGATGATGCGCGGCTTTAATTTTAAATTAATTTTAATTTTAAATTGCAGTTAATCACTAGGGAAATTTAGGAGAGGACTAAATGACTGCTCTGCTGTTCTATGAGCACTATTAGAGTCGTCCCGTGATATTTTAGTAACAAGCCATGAGTCATGCAGCAACTACTGAACTAAAACACACCGTCAAACTTTATGCAGACTAATTTCACCATTCAAAAGTTTGCAGTCAGGAAGATTTTTTTTTGTTAAAAAAATTACAGTAAAGACATTTCAAATAAATGCTGTGCTTTTGAACTTTTCTATTCATAAAAAAATCCTGATGAAAAATGCCTCACAGTTTAGACAAAAAAAATAATTAAAAAAATGAAGCAGTTAAATAGTTTTGAATGCTGATAATAAGACATTTTTGAGCAGCAAATCAGCATATGAGAATGATTTCTGAAGGATTATGTGACTCTGAAGAGTGAAGACTGGAGTAATGATGCTGAAAATTCAGATTTGCATCACAGGAATAAATTACATTTTAAATATATTAAAATAGAAAACTTATTTTAAATGGTAATAAAGTTTCACAATATTACTGTTTTTACTGTAATTTACTGTAATTAAATAAATGCAGCCTTGGTGAGCATTAGGGACTTGCAAAAACATTTAAAAATCTTACAGACCCCAAATTTTTTAAATGTAGTGAAGTGTATGTCTATCTAAAACTTCTGTATACACACACACGCGCGCATGTCTGTGGGATGGATGCCATATTGACCAAGTTAATCAAATTCTGTGAGTTTTGGGTGGATCAAGACCTGTCATGACCGACAGAGATGCATGTAGGGAAAAGAAGTTCCAAAATGAGAAGATAAGCAAACTTACGAGTGAGTAAAAACAAGCCTAGACAGCTCGAGATTCCGAATGATTTCAGAATGCCTCACATCCTGTTTAACAGTATTTGATGTGAATACACTGACTCGTGTGTGTGCAGTGACAGGAACTGGATTCTATTGAATAATAATAATATCTCCCTGCATCACTGCTGAATGAAATCCAATACTTGTTGTTTCTTACTACTTTTTAGGTGCTGATTCCAAACATAGTTTTACACCTTCTTACGAATACGATGCAGTTTGTAGCATTTTTGCTTTTCGACAAAATGAAGAAGTTTTGTATTATCCCTAAATCAAAAGAAAAACTGCACAAAGACATGATTCATTGTCTTTCTCTGAGACAAATTACAACTGTTTCTTCAATTCTCAGCTCATTCTTTAATGCATGAATTATTCTAAAGACATTATGTCATGCCTAATCCTGATTTCAAGGTGAGAACTGAGGCCAGTGACAGAAAAAAAAATGCAAACATGACCAGTTTTACTACATCCAAAGTGCTTATTTCTTTGATATTATACAGAGTATTTGAACTTATTTTTCCACACCTTTGCAGGTTGTAAGTTAAATTATATTTTGAATACTTCTTTTTGTCATTAAAGCTGAACCTTTTGACATTTGACTGCTTTTGTTATTTTAGTGCATTAAGGCAGATATA